ATTTCCTTTCCAGGCTGGGGATGGTGATTTCCCCGGAATGGTTACCACTGGTTACCAGAGAGCTGCTCAGCCTCACACTCAGCATCACCTCTAATAGGGACAACCACTGTGAGAGGTGAGAGGAACAAAATGGGAAACTTTCTCCCCTAGTTTGGCTGCTGAACTGTTAGCCCTGTGTTAGTCAGCTTGGGCCGTCACAACCAAATACCATTGAGTGGGTGACTTAAACAACCCACTTTTTTTTTTTTTTTTTTTAAAGACAATCTTGCTCTGTTGCCCAGGCCGGAGTGCAATGGCATGATCTCGGCTCACTGCCATCTCCACCTCCCAGGTTCAAGGAATTCTTCTGCCTCAGACTCCCGAGTAGCTGGGATTACAGGCACCTGCCACCAGGTGGGGTTTTTGTATTTTTAGTAGAGATGGGGTTTCACCATGTTGGCCAGGCTGGTCTTGAACTCCTGACCTCAAGTGATCCACCTGCCTTGGCCTCCCAAAGTGATGGGATTATAGGCATGAACCACTGTGCCCAGCCCAGACATGTATTTTCCCACAGCTTTGGAGGCTGGATACCAGCGTTGTTGGTTTCCACTGAGGCCTCTCTTTCTGATTTGTAGGTAGCCACCATCTTGCTGTGTGCTCATAAGACCTGTTCTTTGTGCATGAGAGAGATGGAGAGGGAGAGAGAGAGAGAGAATAAGCATAAGTCTCTAGTGTCTCTTCTTATAAGGACACCAATGCTGTTGGATCAGGGCCCCATCCTTGTGACCTTATTTAACCTAAATTACTTCCTTAGAAGCCCTATCTCCAAAAACAGCTCCACTGGGAGTTGGGGCTTCAGTGTATGAATTTCAAAGCGATCCAAACATTCAGTCTGTAAGAATACCAATAAATCATTTTTGTTTTGTTTTGTTTTCTTTTCTTTTTTGTAATAAATCACTTTTTAAAAACCTAATAACATTAATATTTTATCTGATTATAGGTGTAATACATGTGCATTGTGAAAAATTTGGAATAAAACAAAAATAAAAATCATTATCCCATGAAGAAGATGAAATGTAACAAACAAATGAGTCTTTTAGTAAGATCTGAGTGATAATAGCATTGTGTATTCATCTGTGCCTGTGTGTGCACATGCCACGTTTGCCTGCTTGTTCAGAAATCTAGGAGAACTGCAGGGTTTGTGGATTGTATAAAGATTATGCAAGCCCATCAAAGAGAGCTTTTGTTTGTATGCAGCTCATGTAAAAGTAAATATTCCATAACTGCTGTGTAAAATGCAAAAAAGAAAACCTGAAATGATGGCTATTGGCCAACATACAGATTATGCTCCGCTGTCTTATAATATTTTCACTGCATTGCTTTTTAAAACATTTTTCATATTACATGCCCCATCTCATATCACATTAACCCAAATAAAAATGTCATTATCCATTCAGTTCAACAGACAGCAGGCAGAGTATAGCAGAAAATTACAGTCACGCCAGGCAGCAACAAAGGATTCTAGTCAAAAGCACGTAAAAGACCTGATGGTGGGCAGCTGGCCTGAGCTCCCTTTTGCACTGTCCAGGAATATGTTTGGATTCAGAATGAGTGGACCCTTCTTTATACACAGGGCATGCCTCTGAAGAGTTGTGTATAAATCACATTTTATGTTGCATCTCTTTTGTTCTGTTAAGAAAGCTTCAAGCTTGATATCTAAAGAGACTTTCTTTCAAACAGTGTGTGTCTGCATATATATTTATATATAGATAGATAGATATAGATATATCTATATGCACACACATATACATATATATCATGCTACTATTCCTCTGAAATAAATCTAAAAGGAATTTTGTTAAACTAGGGTTCACTTGAACCGCTGAACTTAGTAAGATAATTGAAGGAAGATAGCCAGTAAAGCTAGTCATACTAGTCATAAACATGTGGCTTAAACTCTACTGACTTCTCCAGCATTAAGGGTAGCCTGAGACTTCTTGGAAGTTGGGACCCAGAGGCCATTTTAAGTGACACATTTATATGCCTTTTTGTACTGATGGATTATTAAATGGATGATTTGTGAGAATTTTAAAAAGCATGCAGTAGTCATGAAGTATCAACATAAAGATACTAAGAACGCATCAAGATAGTCATATTTATTTTTCTTTTTTGAGTCGACTTCCAGATAAGTAGATGAGGTAAATCACATTTCTGTTTCTGCAAATCATTTGACAGTCTTCCCCAGCTGACTCATCGGTAAAGTGGTGCCTGGCTGAGTATTTACTTAGGTTCAGGTACAGGTAGGCCAAGAGCCAAAAACAGTGATGATGCATGATTCTGTGGCTACCTAAAATAGCTGTCCAGTGGAGGGCCACACCAGCAGCACCCGGGCCTGTCTACAGACCAATGAACTGAAGGAAGGCTTAGAAGGCACACTTACTAAGTATCATATAGAACGAAGAAAGAATAGCCAGTATTGCAAGTGACGGGTTTTTTTGTTTTGAGGCAGAGTCTCTCTTTGTCACCTAGGCTGGAATGCAGTGGTGCAATCTTGGTTCACTGCAACCTCCACCTCCCACGATCAAGTGATTCTCCTGCGTTAGCCTCCTGAGTAGCTGGGATTACAGGCTCCTGCCACCACACCCAGCTAATTTTTATATTTTTAGTAGAGATGAGTTTCACTCTGTTGGCCAGGCTGGTTTCAAACTTCTGACCTCAAGTGATCCGCCTGCCTTGGCCTCCCAAAGTGCTGGGATTACAGACATGAGCCACCACTCCTGGCCAGGTGATGGGATTTTAATGAGCGAGTACATCTCTTGCTCTCCCACAGTGTTCAAACACCCCAGCACTCTAAGCCCTGTGGCTTTATGAACAGCAAATCCATTTTCCCAAAATGGCCCTCCCTCCATGAGCCTTGGCAACAGGGGACTCATGGGTCTCAGATTCTCTATCATCTCCCCACTTGGGTGTGTTACGCTCTGAACGTTCTGCTCCTTGAGCTGTTGTTCAGCTCTCCATAGTGCTGTCCACGCCACTGTCCTTTCCTTGGTTACTGCCTCCACATGGCAGCCTTCATGGAGCCAATTCAGCTCTGATCTACAGAACCCCCTCACCCTCAATCTACAGGATCCACTCCTTCAGCAGAGGAGTTGGGCCCCCGGTGACATAATTCTTTCCTGACACCCAGAGCATGCGGCTCTGACTCCAAGGAAGCTACAGAGGGGAGGGGTCCTATACAATTGCATGTCCTCCCAACATCCCGCCAATAGCCACCTAGCTGCCGACTCTACCAGATGTCTCCAGCCATCAGAATATTCCAGAGAAGTTAAGAGATCGTTCTACTCAGAACATGTAGCAGAGCAGCAACTAAAGCTTTTCTGATGAATGAGCCCTAAAAAATCAAAATAGCAATTGTACATGGTTATCATTCATGGAAAAAGAATGCAGTTTTCATTAACCTGAACCTCAAATATTTGCCTGCATTGTCATCTAAAAAAGTCAGTGTAAACCTGGTGTTGCAATTGACGTGTAGGGTACAGATCTCAGGAAGTGATTCATTTACCATATACCATCCATACCTGAAATAGTGTGATCCACTTACGAGGCCACCTTTAGGAGTGACCCTGATAGAGACAGTAAGGCAGGAGAGACATGTGCAAGCCATGTGGTTCAGCCCCTATGGAACAGATGGGGAACAGTTTTCTACAAGAAGATGGGGAGTGGATAGGCACTTGTGGTCTGAGTGTTGGGTGCACTGTCACAAAGAAGAGAAGAGAGATGAAACCAGCAAAAGATTATTAGGTGTAGTCAGATTTTGCCTCGGTACAATAACATACCTTTTGACAAGCAGATTAACTTTATAACTTTTCCCAGAGCCTCAAGACTTTAAAAGGAAAGAGTGGGTATTACATAATCAATACAGTTCAATTATTTGTCCATTCACTTAACAAATAATTACTATGTGCCAGATGCTGTTCTAGGTGCTGGAATTATAAAAATGAAAAAAAAAAAAAAAAAAAAACAGACTAAAATCTCCCTGACCTCAAGAACTCAATATTCTCGTGTCAAAATCACAAAATCTAAACATAGGTTGCATTTTATGTCTTTTGTAAGAAATGCTCAGAACGATGTATTAGAGCACGTGGCTTTAGCTATGATGCTATTCTAGAATGGGCACCGAATAAAATAATTCTGCTTGATATTTTCGGCTTGGCCTTTTAATCATGCAAAAGAGAATAAAAGGTCACATGGGTGCCCAGCAGGCTCCACAAAGAATTCCACCCACCCATTTGTTGAAGCTAAGTGGTATCTATGTGAATCTTCATTATACCATTCTACCTTTCTGTGTAGGTTAGAAATTTTCTATCATAAAAGTAATTTCCTATTTTAAAAAAGAAACCCAGCAATTACTCTGTGTGGGCATAGGAGGCATCTTGAACTCAAGGGTTTCCCAGTATTTGAAAGCTCAGTGGCTCAAGCACAAATGAATAACCATCCATCAAAAATGCTCTATAAATAATTTCTGTGTTAAATAAGAAGTTGAAATGAATGACCTTAGGTTCCTTTGGATACTGAGATTCAACATTCTAGTGAAAGATCTAAAATACAGTTGGAACAAACAAGCATAGACTTGGCTTAATTCCAGAGATAGTGCATATGGATTGGGCTCTACTTACTCACTAATACTAACCAAATTTCATGAAACTGAGTACTGATTCTCAGTTTTGTCTAAGCACTTAATGATCATTTTCATAATTATTTCACTGTATTCACTGTAAATCTGTTCTTTTTTGTTTCCAATGCTTAAGCTAAAATAGATGTTTAAAGCTATTGTATTTTGTGAATATGAATATTTTATGAGTATTTTAGGATCTTCCTCTTGAATCTTAGCCGTGTGAAAAATGTCTTCCAAACAGTGTTCATTTCCCCAGAAAGCACCACATATAACCTCTTCATCTGCAGCCAATTTAGGTGTACTCCCGGCATGGTGCCCTAATTACACCTTTGTTTTCCATTATCAGATGGTTCCCCTCATCAGCCAAGCCTGCGACCTTCTCCTGGCTCATTTAAAACGCTATGGAGATTCTGGGGACGCATTTGACATCCAGAGGTAAGGCTGCTGCATTACAGATGAGAAATCGCATTTTTGAATAGCTGCTGCTTGTAACTGTCCATAATTGCTGGACAATTACCTTGGGACTAGCAAACTGTGGAAATGCTAGAAGCTCATAAAAGCATGGATGGACTGACTAATAAGAGGAAAAGAAACCCACTTCACATGGGAAAGAAATGTAAGCAAAGCCGGGGGACGTGTCGCCTGTTGAATTTGTGGATGGATCCACCCTCTGACCACCACAGAACCAGGCACAAGCAGGACAGGCCTGGGAGGGACAGGGCCCAGGGGGAAGAAGGTTCAGGCATTTTCATGTCAAGAAAAATTGTGCTACACCTCAGCCCAGAAGCTGTGACTTAATGGTGGACACCAAATTTAAATAACTGGCTTTTCATCATTTTATAACTAAAAGGTTTTTATTAAAAAAAAAAAAAAACCTTTAGTCTAAGCTTGTCCAACCCACAGCCTGTGGGCCACAAGCAGCCTAGGGCAGCGTTAATGCGGTCCAACACAAATTTGTAAACTTTCTTAAAACATGGTGAGTTTTTTTTGTGATTTTTCTTTTCTCATCAGCTATCGTTAGTGTTACTGTATTTTATGTGTGGCCCAAGACAATTCTCCTTCTTCCACTGTGGCCCAGGCAAGCCAAGAGACTGGCCACCTTTGCTTTAGTCGTTTTATGCCATCATGGCTTACAGCAGATAAAAAATAAAGTGGGATGGTGAATCAGCCAGAAATGGACTCATTCTTATCATTGCTAATAAAATAATAGCATAATCATCACCAACACTGGTATTGCACCAGTTTACACAGTCTTTTCATCCACATTTTCTCTGATTATTATAGGATGCGTGCATTGGCTAAAAATAAGGTGGACTTATCAGCTATAAAAGCAAAGTAAATAGCCCTTAAGACCCTTAAATCTTCAACCGTCAAGATCAGATGAAATCAGTCAGTATTCTCATTCTTGTTTTCACTCTAGTAGGGAAATGTGCAATCAATTGTAGAAATGTTTTCAATAAAAGCATTCAGAATTGAAAAAGTCATCTGGAAATGTCATGTATTCCTTCATGATAAGTTAGTGGTTATAGAACTTACATACAAGAGCAGTTAAGTGTGTGCCTACATTGAGAACAAAAATAGGCCTTTTGATTATAAAAAGATATTAATAACCCAGTTTTTGGCTTTTTGGAAAAGAATTTAATTGAACTACTCCTATAAGATAACAAAAAGGAATAATTTGAGTTTAAAATGGCCTTTTGGAAGACAGGTTTCCTATAGCCTAAGAGGTTAAATTTTCTGGAGCTCCTGGCAGACACGTTTCCTTCTGTTTGTTTCTAAAGTGCAGTGTGTGTTTTCTGTAATAATATACAGATGTTCGTGCAGCCTGCCTTAAAGTTTGTCCTGTATTTGAGTGTGAAGAGCCCTTGCTTTTTGTTTGTTGCTGTAAAGAAAACTATAAAATCATTAAGAGGAAGAGGGAGACAAAGTTAATAAAACTAGATAATTAGGTTGTTAATCCATCAATGACAATTTGACCTCTATCAATTAATCATTAGATTCTGGCCTGAGCTGGACTGTGCAGAGCTTTGGATAAAGCATGTAGACATTGGGTCACCTGTCTGCTCTCCTTCCCAGGGAGAAAAATGTAAAGTGTCCTTCTCAGTACTTGGCTGTGTTCTGGTTGACCACGGCTGCCTGAAGCCCGAAGGTGGAAGAGGCAGTGCCCTCCTCCTCTCCCGGGTCTTTGTTTAGCTGCCAGGTCTTTGTGTCTCCTCCCGTGCTCTGCTGTCACTGCTCAGAGTGTCCGCTGTTCCTCCACCTCACCACAGATCTGCAGAAGCTCCTCTGCTGGGCACATCTGCAGGATGAGGCAAGCCAGTGTAGGCAGATCCTCTGGAGGGGGCATTGCGAGTAGCCCCTGCTAGAGTCCTTTCAAATCCCTGTGTTCCCATCTGCCGTAGGTGCTACTGCTGTTACACCACAGACGTGGTTGCCAGCGTCGCCTTCGGCACCCCGGTGGACTCCCAGCAGGCCCCTGAGGATCCCTTTGTGAAACACTGCAAGCGTTTCTTCGAATTCTGCATCCCTAGACCTATCCTGGTTTTACTCTGTAAGTGCGGCTGCAGCCCAGGGAGGTGCAATGACCCTAGTAAATTGGGCAGACCCCATGACACCTGGGGCGGCCACTGGGAAAGGGACTTGGGGTGTTCCCCTGCAGAGGCTTTGTCTTACGGAGCCACCAGTTTCCTCTTGTCACCCGCCTAGGGCCACTTATTACCAATGCCGTACATAACCCTGGCATTGGCAGTAAGTGGCCCCACCGCCACGGTGAGAACAGTGGGGACACACCGTGTTAGGCACTGGGTGTGCATTGCCTCCCTTAGTCCCGGTAATCACCCCATGAGAAAAATATTCTTGTTCCCATTTCTCGGGTGACAAAACAGAACAAGAAAGACTGAGCTGAGACCGGAACCCAAAGCCTTTCATATTCTAGGGCATATTTCTTTCCTCCACCAAAATCCTCTCCAAAAGACCTCTCCATTTGAAGCCCAACACATAGAAATCCTGTGTGTTGGATGAGTAGTTGGCTACCCATTGCTACGGGGACCAGTCTTTTCATTTTATTTTAATTGTAGGCGTGAGGTTTTGCCCTCTGGTCAATTCTAGGATCTTCTTGCTTTTATGGGAGCACTGATGTGTTGTTATGATTGTTACTGATTATTGCCATGATTTCTAGCCATTCTGCTGGGCTGGCAAATTCCATTCATTCCTGGACCAGTTTAATTCTCATTTCTGAGGCAATGTCCGTGGGAGCCCCTGTTGCCCCTACCAACTCTGCTCTGAAATTGTGGGCAGAGCCACTGAGTGTCTAGCAGTCTCTTCCTTCCCCCTTTCCACAACTCCTGGAGGCTGCCCAGGCTGCATCTGCCGCTTGTGCCTCGACCACGGCCCAGGCCTGTGGGGCAAGTAGCTCCATTGTGCCATCCCTTCTACTCCTCCTCTCAGCCTCTGCAGGGTCCTCCTGCTGCCGTGTTGTATTGGTTCGAGCTCTTGCTCTTGAAAATGGGCCCGCGCATTCTGAGAGCGCGTGTGTCTGGAGCTGTTCTCCCCAGCTCAGTTCCTGTAGAGCCCAATGCAGGGTGCACCCACCATGGAAACCAAGAAGGTGAACCCAGCCAGCGCCCCTCTCCAGGGGAGTTGAGGGTCCCTGATGCTGGCAGCCCAGTCCCCAACACATGGCAGCAAGGGCCCGTGTTGTACGTGGGGCCCGGCGAGGGAGGCACACACAGCAGCGGCTCCTGGGAGCAATTCAGGAGGTCACTGGGGACAGTTATCCAGGGGAAAAAAAAATTTCAAATGACCAGAAAGTTTGTAAAAAGTAAATCAGCTACCACTTGCTAAGGCTTGAAACAGCCTGTAATCCTTTCTCTCTTGATGAAGTACAAAGACCTTGGGTTCTCATCCCCAGGACCCGAAACATTAATTTATAAGGATGAGCTTGACCTCTAGAGGGCCAGATGGAAGTGCAGACTCGATTAATTGCGCAGATGTTTATTGAGTGCTTACTATGTGCCAGGAATGGTGAGGAGTACCGAGAGGGAGTAAGACATCACCCCTGCTCTTAGAAGCAGCAGTGCGGTGGGGAGGGCAGAACTCCAAACGACTCCAATTCCAGGCCTGTGTTTGCTTCCTGGGAACAGGCGTCTAATGGCCCTGGTTTATTATCACCCCCTTCTCAATGCCACTTCTGTTTTTCTCTTTCAAGTATCATTTCCATTCATAATGGTCCCACTGGCCCGGATTTTGCCCAATAAGAAGCGAGATGAACTGAATGGCTTTTTTAACAAACTCATTAGGAATGTGATTGCCTTGCGGGACCAGCAAGCTGCCGAAGAGGTAACGTATTTTAATAGGACACAGCCTTGAAATGGAATGGAGCCGACTCCGGCATCACTGTTTCTGTTCTTCCTCTTCCCCCCTCAACCCCTCACATCACACCATGCTGTCCTTCAGCAGTCCACCACTTACGGCTTCCAGGGACAGTAGAGAGAACAGAGGAAGGTTGAAGAAGGTCAGACAAGAAAGGGAGGGTGGGAGGCAGAGAGGAGAAGCCTAGAGCAAAGTGTACGTCCTCTGACACGGACGGGTAGAATTAAAGCTGCCCCCAAAACTCACTCTCTAGTGCTGGCATCACTCCAAGCACAGGTGAGAGCAGCCCAGAAGAATTTTCTAGGTAAATGTGCCCACATGCAATTTTCATGAACATATTTTTTATATTGAAAACCCAGCAAGACGGAGTTTTCCAGCATGAATCGCATGCTTATTAGACAGTGCGGCAGCTGTCAGTCAACCCCGCACTCCCACTCAGCATGGAGGATGTTGCTACAAAATTCATGGTTGAGGGCCCACTGGACTCCTTGGCACGATTCACGTGAGACCCAACATGTTCTTTCCTCCTTGCGGATCTGCATGATGCTTGGCACATAGTAGGAATCGAGTAAATATTTGTTGATTGAACCTCACTAAAAATAGAGGAGTTTTCTGTGGGAAGAAAGGTCATTTCAATACTAGATATGCGTATGCATGTGTAAATCTGTGCTTTAAGGGCCTTGTGGCATTAAAGTTACTAAAAAGGAAAAACAGGGCTGAAATGGCTTTTCCTTAGCTGACTCGCGCAAGATGCAAGTTTAAAAGGGTTGTTTCAAAGACTGGGTGGGTGGCTCAGAGGAATTGGTGAGGTCCAATTGTTAAGGCATTGGCCTGGAACGAAATCAGGGGTCAATTAGCGGCTTGATACACTGAGCAGCCTTGGGCAGCGACCATGTCCTGTGCAGCTTCGCACCCTGAGAACTGTGCAGCAAATGTGTCTAGATCCAGAAGGCACGGGAAGGTATACGCAAGCTTACAGCCCCTCGGCCCACACCACTGGGAACGCAACTCACATACCCTTGGAGGTGTGGGATGAAGGCAGCTAACTGGTATCCCTGGTCCAGCTCTGAGGCCTAAAAGGACAGAACATTCTGATCCAGGTTCATGCTTCTCAGCAGAGTGAGGGTGCAGCCAGCAGCCAGGAGGAGGAGGGATAAAGAAAGAACCATTTTTGGCTGGGCGTGGTGGCTCACACCCATAATCCTAGCACTTTGGGAGACTGAGGCGGGTGGATCACCTGAGGTCAGGAGTTCGAGACCAACATGACAAATATGGAAAAACCCCATCTCTACTAAAAATACAAAATCAGCCTGGCATGGTGGTGTGTGCCTATAATCCCAGCTACTTGGGAGACTGAGGCGGGAGAATTGCTTGAACCTGGGAGACAGAGGTTTCAGTGAACCGAGATTGTGCCATTGCACTCCCGCCTTGGCAACAAGAGCAAAACTGCTTCTCAAAAATAAAATAAAATAAGAACCATTTTCAACCCTCAGCATTGCTCCGAAGGGCCACCTTTTGAGAGCGTTGTCACACACACACACACACACACACACACACACACACACACACACACACTCCCCTAGTCTGGCTGCGGAATCAGGCTAAAAATTTTAAAACTGTTGCACTGAATGACTTACTAAGAGGTGAGAGGTTATTAAAGATCCAATTACTGGGATTGCCTAGAGCTTTTCCTTTTATAAACTCTAGTGCTATTTGTTTCAAATAATGAGTTGATCTGAGAAAAACCTCCCAACCACAAATCCAGGACGGCCATGTCAAGACAGAGCTATACCGTTACTAAGAAAACTTGCTTTAAAACCATCTAAAGTCTGTATACATTCCATCAAGCAGATGTGTGTTTGCGCAGTGAAAATGCGGCACAGATGTTAAAAGGTAAATATTTTTCTAAGCTCTAGCCGATGGGTGGATTAGACACCTACATCTATCAGGGTGCGTATTTTTCTTGGATAGGACCATAAACCAGCACCATTTCAGTCCTCAGTGGGCAGTGTTCAGATAGCCTCCCTGATGCAGTGTGAATAAAAGAAACCCATCCACACTAATGTTCCTCTCCAGCGCACAGGCCCTAGAGAGTGGCCTTTCCTCTGGCCTCTGTAGCTGGAAGTTAAGACAGATTTCTGCAAGACTCTGACAGCCCTTTAGCAGCCTATCTGGGCTGGAATAAGAGGAAAGGATGCTGGCTACAGTTTTGCCCACAGAAAAATGCCCGGTGTAAGCCAGGCGCAGTGACTCATGCCTGTAATCCCAGCACTTTGGGAGGCTGAGGCAGGTGGATCACTAAGTCAGAAATTTGAGACCAGCCTGACCAACATGGAGAAACCCCGTCTCTACTAAAAATACAAAAATTAGTCAGGTATGATGGCCCTATGCCTGTAATCTCAGCTACTCGGGAGGCTGAGGCACGAGAATTGTTTGAACCTAGGAGGCGGAGGTTGCAGTGAGCTGAGATCGCACCACTGCACTCCGGCCTGGAAACAGAGCAAGACTCCGTTTCAAAAAAAAAAAAAATACCCGGTGTAGAGGTGGCTGTGCCCTCCTTCCTGTCATCACCCCTACACCACCTCAGCAAAGCCATAGCCAAGCCTCAGGGACCAGAATGGTATCACACCCTGAGCAGTTTCAGAGGGACTGGCTGAAAGGTCTGAGCATGCTCTGGGGTCCTATGCTGGTGTCCCAGAGCTGAGGAAGCAGAGGATGCTCACTTCCCCTGTGTGCCATCTTGCCTGACCCTGCCCCAGCTCTGCTCCATGGGAGCAGGGCCAGCAGTGGGACCACACCAGCTGCCCAGATGTTGACCAAGCAGCAGGATGGAAACTGGGGAAAGCCAACCCTTGAGGATGTCATTTGAAAATCAGAATGAGCAGGGCCTGGGTGGAATGAGGCCAGCAACTACCCCCGACCCTTCACTATTTTCTCAGCTATGACAACCCAGCAAGCTGATGGAAAGCTGAGGACTTGCTTCCTTAGCCTCAAGATCTGTGGCGCCCATCGCCTTCTCCTTGAGCACTGCTAGGATCCCAGTAGGCACCATCCAAAATCACAAGGTTGGGGTTCAGTAGAGCTGCAAAGGCGTCAGCATCCAAGACTTCCTCTCGCTCTAAATAGCATGCGCTTGTCATCAAACTCAACACACCCTTTCTCCAGTGCACATACTGCTTACGTTTTTATCTGTTGAGTCATGGATTGTGCACACCTCACATGTGCTCAGCACAAAACTAGGCATGGTGTTGAGGGTGGGGTCCCACCCTGGAGTTGCTTATAATCTTACGGAGGAGAAAAGGCAACCACACGTGAAACGACAAGTCATAAAAGATGGAATCAGATAACTCAGCAGTGAGGAACCTTGGTTCATACTGAGCATTTCAAAAGCTACACCTCTGTATCTTCCTCCTTCGTTCTCCAAGAAGCCTCACTCTTAATGACTGACTGCAAAGCCAAAATGTGCATTTTTCTGCTTGTGTCCCTTAGAGGCGGAGAGACTTCCTCCAAATGGTCCTGGATGCCCGACATTCTGCAAGTCCTGTGGATGTGCAAGACTTTGACATCGTCAGAGACGTCTTCTCCTTTACTAAGTGCAAGCCGAACCCTTCCCGGCAACACCAGCCCAGAGCCATGGCCAGGCCTTTGACTGTGGATGAGATTGTGGGCCAGGCCTTCATCTTCCTCATCGCTGGGTATGAAATCGTCACCAACACACTTTCTTTTGCCACCTACCTACTGGCCACCCATCCCGACTGCCAAGAGAAGCTTCTGAGAGAAGTGGACCTTTTTAAGGAGAAACACGTGAGTACAAATTGGGTCTAGATGCCCATGGGATATCCATAGAGCAATTGATTTTGTGTTTGTGGAAGTGAAACTTATTTTTAATAACTTGCTAATGTCACATTCTAAGCTTATAAGATGAAATAGGGTCATTGTTCAGCTTCTCCTGCTGTCCAGGCTAGCAAGTGAAATGGAATATTGAGAACAATCACCACAACAGAAAGACACATTGTGTGTGCACCTTCACTGTCTGGGGTAGACCATGAAGCCAGGCCTGGCTCGAGGAATCTTCAGAGGTCCAGGAAAGAGTCAGGCCCAAGGGGCAGGGATTGGGAAGGAGTTATGGCTTCCCGATGTCTGACTTGGAGCTGCTACACAGAGGGAGGCAGGTGTGAGCCAGAAAAAAGCCACACTGGAGGCCAGGCGCGGTGGCTCACGCCTGTAATCCCAGCACTTTGGGAGGCCGAAGTGGGCGGATCACAAGGTCAAGAGATTGAGACCATTCTGGCCAACATGGTGAAACCCCGTCTCTACTAAAAATACAAAAATTAGCCCGGCTGGTGGCACGTGCCTCTAGTCCTAGCTACTCGGGAGGCTGAGGCGGAAGGATCACTTGAACCAGGAGGTGGAGGTTTCAGTGAGCCGAGACTGCACCACTGCGCTGCAGCCTGGCGACAGAGCAAGACTCTTTCTCAGGAAAAAAAAAAAAAGAGAGAGAGAGAGAGAGAGAGAGAGAGAGAGCCAAGCTGGAAGGCAGGAGGGGACGAAAGAACAGGCCAAGCTGGAGCCAAACTGAAGACCAGGAGCTGAGGAGGAGGCTCACAAATGGAATAAGGGAAGATGGGGCCCATCAGCACCCAGGCCAGATTCTGGGCATTTCTTCCAGATGAGGCCCCCTTGGTCACTTGTGGCAGATATAACAGGGGTGCTGAGCAAGGCTGCTTTATCACCTCACTTTTTCCTCTGGATGCTTGTATGTGTATAACTTTGACTCATGAGCTGTTAAAGAGATTCATTTTTAAAATCTGTGCTCTCAAAGGAAAACCAGTCACAATGGAATCCTTGCTATTACATTCTGATATAATTGCTATTACATTCACAGTTTTGGAAAGTGGTCTGTTCTGTTACTGGAACCATTTTAGAACGTTTCAATTAACCGAAGTCTACTTCCCAGGAAATTCTGCTTCTTTATCCTACTGGGGAAGTAAAGGCAAAGTTAGTGTCTCTTCTTCACAGCAGTTTTTAAATATTTGAAAACTGGATTCACTGTGTTACTAATTAATTGTCTCAACTTTAGGCTCAACATGAGCTTATGGTCAACTTCAGGTTCAAAGTAGTTATGACAACTGCCCACCTGGGCCTTTCCAAACGCTGCTTATACAATTGATTTACTGAGCCTAGACACAAGAGTTTATATTTATCCTTATTACTGTTCAAGTCAGTCAAAATAATTTTGAATCTTGATTCTGCCATCTGTTATATTAGCAATTCCTCCAGCCTCGTGTCATCTGAGACTTACTAAGCATGTCTCCTATTTCATCCAAGTCATTGATTAAAATGTTGAACAGGACAGGACTTCCCTCCAGATTGACATTGATCCATTAATCAATATTCTTTGGGCATGGAATCTCAACAAGCCATGAATCCAAATGACCCTGCCACCCATCTTATTCTGTTTTGTACGTAGTGGTGTGTCTACTTGTTCTTAAATTGAGGAAAGGGGAGAGGGAGGGACCAAAGGTGACTGGGCTGCATTAATGCAAAGGAAGTGTAAGCAGCTGGAGGAAGGCAGTCTATTAGTTGCAGATAACGTAACCTCAACCCAACTGATTTAAGCAAAACAAAAACAAGGAAAAACAAGCAAAAAGACTCGTAAACGTGTATTTCTGAGTACATTTAATTGAGCAGCTCAGGAATAGAAATGTCTCCAGGCAAATCTTTGTCTGGGTCTCAAACTGGTGCACAGGCCCGTTTCTCTCTCCCGGTTCTTGACTGTTCTCTCTTATATTGGCCCCATCCTCCATCATGCTCTCTGTTCAAAGCCCCAAGAAGCCTGTCAAGAGTGTCTGGGACTACACACTTCCTTGCTGGTAACCAATGGAGAAGACAGGGTCTGCGGCCTAAATTTCCCAGCCAGAGTCATGAGGGTCACTCTGATGGGAATACTTAGGTCACTGCCCATTCTAGAACCAACCCTTGCAGCAAAGGGAATGGGGGCCTTGATAGGGTTACACCAATCAGACTCCAGCCCTAAGTCAATCACACTCAAGTCACATGACTGAAAACCTGGGAAGGTGATGTCTCAAAGGAAGCTTAGCATGCTGTACCGGGAAGGCATTAGAAGGAAGCTCAGCACTCTGGTCTCGGTAAATCAGAAAGCACATCAAGGACTCAAAGCATCTAAAGAGTGCCCAGCAGTGCAGCAGATATGGCAGAGGCTAGGAGATGGAGCAGAAGCACTAAGAGACAGAAATTATGACCCTCACCTTGCAGGAATTTAATCGCCAATTGAGAAACAGTGTCTATAAAACAGTATCTCCCTTCCAACCACAGGCCTGCAGGGCAATAGAAGGTAGCAAATAATCAGGTCTAGAATGTGTGCTGTCACTTAGAGAACCACAGGGCCATAGGAGTCTGTCCCAGCAGCTATAACCATAGTCACATCTGGTTGTGTTAATCTGCCAGGAGGACACAGCAAGTGTTTCCATTCAAAGGCCCTCATGCATGCACCCTTTACCTCTGGCACGGCCTTCCCTGGCCATGACCTCATGGAGGGTGTTGTCTCACCAAACCCTGACCTCCTTCAATGCCCCAGCCTGGGAGCAGGGCTTCTCCTCCCAGAGGACCACATATTAGGCCAGGCAAGGTGACTAACATCTATAATCCCAGCACTTTGGGAGGCTGAGGTCAGTGGATCATCTGAGGTCAGGAGTTCAAGACTGACTAGCCTGACCAACATGGGGAAACTCCATCTCTACTAAAAATACAAAATTAGCTGGGTGTGGTGGCTATAATCCCAGCTACTCGGGAGGCTGAGGCAGGAGAATTGCTTGAACTCGGGAGGCAGAGGTTGCAGTGAGCAAAGAGCACACCATTGCACTCCAGCCTGGGCAATAAGAGCAAAACTTGGACACACACACACACACACACACACACACACACACACACGACCTTATGTAATTATGGGGCTGTACAGAGAATGTTGCAAGGCACTGAGACCCCTCGGACAAACAAACAGATTATAGCAGGTCAAATTTTTCAAAGTTTCATGTGCATAAAACCATATGGGAAGACTGCTTAGAATGCATGTTCTGCAGTCCTGACCTCAGGGGTTCTGAGTCCGTAAGTCTGGGCTGGGGCCCAGGAACCTGCATTTTATTTTATTTGATTTTTTTTTAAGATTTTTTTTTTTTTTTTAGTTTCACTCTATTGTCCAGGCTGGAGTGCAGTGGTGCAATTCTGGCTCACAGCAACCTCCGCCTCCTGAGGAACCACATTTTAAATAAATGTTTCCAGTGATTCTGATGCAGGTGGTCCCTGGTTCCACCTTAAGACAGCCTTAGACTCTCATGGGCTCAGATCCCTCTTCCAAGAAAAAAAGCAGGAGCCAAAGCCCTCCTAAGCCAGTCAAGCCCCCAGGGTGATTTTCTTTCTGTATGTAACAGCTGGGGGTAACAGTCTGAAAAATGGGAATATCTATAGCTGTCTTTTTTAAAACATACATTTTGGTAGTCACAATAATGTTGCTTTGCACAGCCACTCAATGAATATTGGTGGGTTTTCTTTTTTTCTTTTCTTTCTTTCCTTCTTTTATTTTTTTAATTTTTTTTTTTTTTTTTTTTTTTTTTTTTACTATAATCAGAGCTCTGTTAATATGGGCCATCTGTCAGGACATGGAAATGCAGATTAGATGTTCACACATTAGATATTTTCCTGAAAATATTCCTGAAAATTTGCATGTAAAGTATGACTTGTTATAATTTTCCTGCTGGTTTCCATTCAACAAATATTTCTTGAGTGCCAGTTAATGCCAGACTCTGGGGCTCCAGCCCTACGCATGAGGGTGTTCTGGTCTAGCTCTTCTGTGACATCCTGTAGAGCATCCCCAGGCCTCATTAGATGGCCTTCCCTTGTATCTGTCAATGAGATTGCTTAATTTGGGGTCTTGAGTTTCTTCCCCCTGAGCCATTTCTTTCATAGCAATGCACCATGAGAATCTGACAAGAGCTACATCCCTCCCTCCAAGAAAGAGAACAGATATGTGTGTGGCATCAGTTCAGACTCTTCTGTGGACAGTGATAGAAAATCGAGTCTAGATTGGCTCAGGGAGCTTACTGACCCCTATAACTGAAAACTCCGGAGGGCAGATCTGCCTTCAGGTATGGCTTGATGCAGGGGCTCAACCCCTGTCCCTGGGACCCAGGTCGTTCCCTCTCCCCATCTTGCGGCTCCGGTAGCTCTTGGCATACTCCCTTCCCAGGCAGGTCTCCCATAGGGGTTTCAAGACAGCTTTGTAACCAGTGTTTTGAACAGTCTGAACTCAGTGAATTACCAACTTGAAATCATTTGGTGGTTTTTTTCCATGTATTTCCTTTAAATGTGCTCTGATGAATCTCCCTTTTCCTGTCCGTGATGATACCTTGTACAGATCTTAATGATTTCTGGTCATTTCTGGGCACATTAAAAAGTCCAGGCCAGTCTGGTCCAAATGAAAACTCTAGTCTCAAATCCAGTCAGTGCTATTCTGTTCTCTTAGCTTGGGCCAACCTGTGGACTGAGGATGCCGCCCTGGAGAGGAGTGGCCTGTTTTTTCCCCTCATTCTATTCCTCCCCCACCCTGTTGGGCCCCTTTCTCCTCCAGGGGTGGGGCCTGTGAACGGATCCCCAAATCCTACCTACCTGGGGCTGCCCTCAGTGCATCCCCTGAGAGGCTTCTGATGTGGGGTAGTTGCAAGATGTATTCAGAGGACTTCCAGGTCTGATGTCCTCACTGCATAACTCCGTGCCAGGGAGACCAGCTC